CTGGGGGTCTCAAAAGGGACTAGATGGGTGAAGTAGAAAGTTACAAAGTTCTAGTCAGCACATCTTACTGACCTGGGAACTCAAAACATGAGAGAACTACAAAAAAGTGTTTTTGTCCATGGAGCCAGTTACACCACGGCATGCTACCCAGCCATACAAAGGACAACCTGTTAATACATGCAGCAGCTTGGATGGCTCTGTAAGGAATTAGGCTGAATGACAAAGGCGATTTTGAAAGGTTACATACCTTTGATTCTATTTATATGATATTTTTGAAGTAACAACATTTCATAAATGGAAAAGAGATCAGTGGTTGCCAGGGATTAGGAAGAGGGCTGAGAAGTCGGCCGGGGAGGTGGGTGTGGTTACAGAAGGACGGCATGGGGTCCCTTATGGTGATAGGGTGCTGGAGGTAGTCTCTATTTTGATAGTGGTGGTGGATACATGAACCTACCCTAGTGATAAAATTGAATAGAATGAAACACACAAATACATACAAGTGAAATCAGGAAACTCTAAATATAAGATCAGTGGGTTGTAGCAGAGTCAGTGCGCTAGTTGTGATATTGCACTATGGTTTTGTGAAATGTTATCACTGGGGAAACTAGCTAAAGGGTACACAGGATCGAGAGAGATCTTGATTCTTTTGTTGTTGTTAAGTCATTTGTACATAGATCATGAATACCTTTATGCCATTATAGGATTCAATGAGATCTTGATTCTTACCACGGCATGTGACTCTATGACAACCTAAAATTTTTGCAAGGAAAAATAAAGTAAAACTGTAGACCTAAATATAGATCTTTTAGAGTAAGAGTGTTTTGGCACAAATGGGAGTACAGTAGAACCTCCGTAAGTTGACCACCCAGAGGACTATAACAAACTGGCCAAAACACAGAGGTGGCCAATGTAAGGAATGAGGCCTGCTGTACTGATGCGTGTGGTGCGTGTCCAGTCCACAAAAATTAGGTCAGTTAAGGAGGTGGTCAGTGCAGGGAGGCGGCCAGCTATGGAGGTTCTACTGTGTTTTCTTGAGGAATACGTCTCAGTGGTGCCCCTGCAACATACTGAATGGGCCCTGAGGAGGGAGGAGAGGAAGGAAAGTGAAATTTGAAAATTAAATGATGTTCTCTATAGCCACTCTTAGAATTCTGCTGCTGGGATTGTTGAGGAAAATGAAGTTCAAAAGAGAGCAGGTGGTGATTATGGCAATGGGGAGATTTCTCTTCTAAGACAGACTCTACAATGCCACATTAGAGCAAAAGGCTTCTCTGTGTTTATGAAGGAGAGGGTGGAGGTGGGGGAGAGAAGCAACTTCGTTGGCCCGTTTTGAGTTATAAGCATTCCAAAAAGTCCTGGCCTTCAAACAGCTTCTCACTTGTTCCTTCAAACTGTAACTCACTCAGGTGCACACACATGACCACTCTAAACCCTGATCCGGGAGTTTCATTCATCCTCTGTCTGGTCATGCCAAGCTGCCAGCCAGCAAGATTCTCAAAGATGGATCAATATATCTGATTCACCTCCTCCCTCTCATAACAGGCCCTTAATCTCACCTGCAACGTGTGGGGCGACCCAAGTCCTGAGGTCTCATGGCTGAAGAACGAGAAGCTCCTGACCTCAGACGACCACTGCAGCCTCAAGTTCGAGGCGGGGAAGACTGCCTACTTCACCATCACCGACGTGACCACCGCCGACTCTGGCAAATATGGGCTGGTTGTAAAGAACAAATACGGGTCAGAGACGAGCGACTTCACCGTCAGCGTCTTCATCCCAGAGGAGGAGGCCAGGAAGACCGCCCAGGAGTCCCAGAAAGGTGGCAAGAAGGCCAAGTGATGGGAGCCTGGCGTCAGGGGTGCCCGGAGAGCCAAGGAGAACTGAGCCGCCCCATGTGGCTTGTGTGGGAACGGTTTGGGTTAAGGATGAGGAAGTCTTTGCGCTTTCTCCTGTCTGTTTTGTGCTGGTTTGGGGGAAAAATTGTCAAGTCTTTTATTCATATAAAAAAGCACCAACTAATAGGTTGTCTTTATCTACATATTATGTGTTAAGAAATATCATTAGTAGCATGAATATTAGGAAAGAGTTTTATGGAAAAGACCAGAATAAAGTTGGAGGGACACTGAATGATGCCGGGAGGGCAGAAGGACGTGTTGTGGGACAGAGTTTGGGTCTGACGTGGTTGCAAAGCCCTCCAGTCCATTCTGGGATGTGACCTGCGTTGTTACAGTAGCGATGTGCATCTCTGCTGGCTTCCTGGGGCTCAGAATCTCTTTGATAGAAAATAAACGGTTCTTACATCTTTCCTCCTTCTCCACAGTGTTTCTCAGATTCCTGCTGTCCTGCTGCTCAGTTGGTGGCCTCTGTGGCATCTTTCTTGACACTTCTTACAGGCACATCTTCTGATTTACATTCCTTTTGGTGAAAACAGTACCCAGCAGCATGATCGGAGAAGCGGCCTGAGCTCGGTTGAGGTTCAGAGGTGTGAAATTACACTGTCATCGCACATCTGGGAGCTCTCCACTCTATCAAGCCAGTTCCCCCATGAAGATACACAGGGTAATTGATTGTAATGTTTCAGTGACACGTGATAAGATGGAGTGAGGGGCCTAGTGCCAGAACTGGTGACTCAGGGCCCGCAGCTAAGAATAAAGGCACTAAGAACCCTCATTATAAACTCAGAGAGCAGCCAGGCTGGGCCCTGCCGCTTCCTGCAGGGTTTGCTGAGAGGCAGCATCCCAGCAACAGCTGCTGTAGAAGTTTGGTCCTCCCCGTCCCAACCCCACACCCACACAGAGACACACACACACAAAGAAACACACACACAGACAGACACACACTCAGACATACATGCAGACACACCCACACAGAGAGACACACACAGAGACACACAGACACACACCCACAGAGAGACACACAGACACAGACGCACACAGACACACACGCAGACACACCCACACAGAGACACACACACACAAAGAA